TTTCCATTATTGTGTGGCTGAGCGTGCGCTTGCAAAGAAAATGTTATAAATGCAATAGTCGAGAAGTGAATCCACACATGAATATTCACTCATGAACTTGAGCATAATTTTATAAAGAAAATATTATTCTCGATGTCGCATTACTCATGAATGCTTAATATAGAAAGTCGGATCTGTTGCAAAAGAATACATACAAAAGTTTACCTGAAACGGGGCTCACAAAGTTTTAACTCTAAGTACGTCTAATTTAATCCTATTAGAGAGTTCGTTAAAATAAACAAGAATTCGCATCATGAACTCGTTTACAAAAAATTATGTGCTGGTGGAAAAAACTGGAAAAATCCTCGTCACCCGGTCTTATTTTTTAAGGAGATTAAACAATTTCTACTATATTGCACGATATTGAAGTTTTTGCGATAATGGGGATCCTCAAAAAACTCAAGGTGGATTCATAAACCACAAGTATAAATGTATGTGATTTTATAAAATGTAAATAGCGTTTACAACGCAAAATTTGTGCTGTATTAGAAACTTTTCGATGTCGTGTTTTCATTTTAGTTTTCTCCGTTTTTCAGTTTCCCGACTTCCAAATTTTCCAGTTTTCGATTTTTCAGTTTCTCAAGTTTCAACTTTTCGATTTTTCAATTTTTCTTCCGAATTTATAATTTCTCGTTTATTCAAATTTTCAATCTTTGATTCTTCATTTCCTCGATTGTACAATTTTTAAATTTTTCAGTTTTGCAATTTTTGGATTTCGCAATTATCGGATTTTCCGATTTCTTTAATGTTCAATTTTTCGATTTCATAATATTTCGTTTTTTCCATGTTGCAATTTTTCGATTTATAATTTCTCAATTTTTATTCTTTTGAATTTTCAGTTTTTAGATTTTTCGAAGTTTTCATTTTTTCATTTTTGATTTTTCAATTTCAAAATGTTGCAGTTTTTTTCATTTTTTGATTCGAAAAACAGAAAAAAAAATTGAAATTGCAAAATCGAAAAATCATAAAAAAATCATATCATATAAAAAATAAAATTCCCGAAATCAAGTCTTATAATTTTTTGAAAAATCTGGATGTATTTACCTTCAACCGATTTTTCATTTTCTCAACTTTCAAATTTTTAGATTTACAATTTTCCAATTTTGCAATTTTTTATATTACAAATTTCCATTTTTGATTTTTCAGTTTCAGTTTTTAGTTTTTTGATTTTTCAATTTTTGAAGTTCTTAATTTTTATTTTTCATTTTTGCGCAGTTTTTAAATTTTTCAATATCTCGTTTTTTCGATTTTGCATTTTTTCGCTGTTTCAATTTTTTGTTCCTTCATTTATTCAAGTTCCTGATTTCCAATTTTTAAATTTTCAAAAATTTTCATTTTATACTTTTTGGTTTTTTCATTTTTCATTTTTGGGTATTACAATTTTTCATTTTTCGATTTTTCAATTTCTCAGTTTTTGATTTTTCAATTTTTCAATTTTTCGCTCCAATTTTTCAAGTTCTTGATTTGTATTTTTCGTTTTCGCGATTTTTTTAATTTTCATTTTCTCAATTTTATATCACAATTTGTTTTTTTTCAATTTCCTTTGTTTTTTCAATGTCTCTTTAGATTTTATAATTTTCTTTTATTCAATTTATTAAATCTTCGATCGTAATCTTTCATTCCCTGGATTTTCCAGTTTTTAAATTTTTCAGTATTTCGTCTTTTCGATATTGCATTATTTGGATTTTTGAGTTTCTCAATTTTAAATTTTTCGATGTTCCAATTTTTTGTTTCTTCATTTTTTCAAGTTCTTGTTTTCCAGTTTTTATTTTTTTAAAAGCTTTCATTCTATACTTTTTCGTTTTTCCATTTTGATTTTTCAGTTTCAAAATGTTGCAGTTTTTTTCATTTTTTGATTCGAAAAAAAGAAAAAAAATAGAAACTGCATAATCGAAAAATCATAAAAAAATCATATATAAAAAATAAAATTCCCGAAATCAAGTCTTATAATTTTTTGAAAAATCTGGATGTATTTACGTTCAACCGATTTTTCATTTTCTCGGCTTCCAATTTTCGTATTTTTTTTTATTTTTAGATTTGCAATTTTCCAATTTTGCAATTTTTTATATTACAAATTTCCATTTTTGATTTTTCAGTTTCAGTTTTTAGTTTTTTGATTTTTCAATTTTTGAAGTTCTTAATTTTTATTTTTCATTTTCGCGCAGTTTTAAAATTTTTCAATATCTCGTTTTTTCGATTTTGCACTTTTTCGCTGTTTCAATTTTTTGTTTCTTCATTTTTTCAAGTTTTTGAATTCCAGTTTTTAGATTTTTAAAAATTTTCATTATATACTTCTTGGTTTTTCCATTTTTCATTTTTCGGTATTACAATTTTTCATTTTTCGATTTTTCAATTTCTCAGTTTTTGATTTTTCGATTTTTCAATTTTTTGTTTCTTCATTTTTTCAAGTTCTTGTTTTCCAGTTTTTAGTTTTTTAAAAGCTTTCATTCTATACTTTTTCGTTTTTCCATTTTGATTTTTCAGTTTCAAAATGTTGCAGTTTTTTTCATTTTTTGATTCGAAAAACAGAAAAAAAATAGAAATTGCAAAATCGAAAAATCATAAAAAAATCAAATCATATAAAAAATAAAATTCCCGAAATCAAGTCTTATAATTTTTTGAAAAATCTGGATGTATTTACCTTCAACTGATTTTTCATTTTCTCAACTTCCAATTTTCGTATTTTTTTTAATTTTTAGATTTGCAATTTTCCAATTTTGCAATTTTTTATATTACAATAAATTTCCATTTTTCGATTTTTTCGTTTCAGTTTTTAGTTTTTTGATTTTTCAATTTTTTGTTCCTTCATTTATTCAAGTTCTTGATTTCCAATTTTTAGATTTTTAAATATTTTCATTTTATAATTTTTGGTTTTTTCATTTTTCATTTTTCTAATTCAAGAATGTTCATGAAAAATTATGAAAAAATCATCATAAAAAAATAAAATTCGAGATATCAAGTCTTATAATTTGTTGAAAAATCTGGAGATATTTACTTTCGAACAATTTTTGATATCACAATTTATCGTGTTTCCATTTTCTTGGAGTTCACAATTTTTTGATATCACAATTACTTTTCGTTTTTGGTTTTCTTTAATGTTTCCAATTTTTCATTTTTTCGACTTCAATGTTTTTTGATTTTTCGTTTCTTCATTTTTTCGGTTTCAATTTCTTAACTTTGTAATTTTTCGGTATTACAATTTTTCATTTCGATGTTTCAATCTTTTTTCATTTTGTAAAATTTTCAATTTTACAATTTTGCAAATTTTCATTTTTTTATTCGAAAAGTCGAAAAATCGAAATATTGAAAAGTCAAAAATGAAAAATTGGAAAAAACTGAAAAAATGAAAAATTGAAATAGTGGAAAATCGAGAAACCTAAAATCGAAAAAATTAAAGAGTCGAAAAATTGGAGAACTCAAAAATTGTGAAATAGAAAAATTATGGAACTGTCAAAACTGTAAAGCTGAAAAACTGGAACATGAAAAATCGAAAAATTAAAAATTGAAAAATTGAATAAATTTAAAAATTTTAAAAATGGAAACATTCTAAAAATGTAAAATTGAAAATGAAAATTTGTATTCAGGTATCATTATTATTACATATTTAAAATGAAAAGTTAGAGAAAATTTAGGTCTAAAATTGTAAAAAACGAAGAACTGAAAACCTAAAAATTGCAAATCGAAAAACTGGAAAATGCAATACATTGAAAAAAAGAAAAATGATAAAATGATAAAATTAAAAAAATTTGAAATTGAAAATTAAAGACAATAAGAAAACTGAAAGGAAAAACTGCAAATCGAACGATTGAAGAAATAAAAAATTGCAAAATTCAAAAATTGTAAAATTGAAGAAACAAAAAATTATAAAATCTGAACATTTAGAAAGCGGAAAATTGTAAAAATAAAAACTGAAAAATGGAGAAATTTTAAATCGAAAAATTTCAAAACCTAAAAATTGAAAATTTCAAAAATTGGAAAACTGAAAAACTGAAAAATTGAAAATCGAAAAATTGAAGAAACAAAAAAAATAAAATTGAAAAATTTAAGCAAAAAAATTTTTAGATCACTGATTTCGACTTTATAGAGGTTATCAGAAATCAAAAATCGCTCTTTTTTATAGTTTTCCCAAGAAGCGGGATTTGTTGGGCTGTAGGGAATTCTCTCGAAAAAACCTTCGACCAATTTTTGTATGTTGCATTTGAATAATAATATTTATATACAATAATTAGCAGTATAAAACAATATTTGAACAATGAAATGAAAAACTCATTTATTTATACTGTTTGGCTTTGCTATTCCATAAAATTAAATTAAATATTTGGTTGTAAAATGGAGCTTTCAGGTTTGTGTATAAATTTTATTACGAAACGTTGGAAAGTAATCATTCGTTATAAAATTCGCGTATAATTTATTAAAATTGTAACTGGAAAGTAGATTTGAAAGCACTAGAACTTTCATACAGAATTTGTTCACTGTTTCAGCTTTTATTAGGTACTATGAATAGTAAAATCTAGGAGTGTACTCTGATCTAATCTGCTTCGTACTACAATACCAATTAACGATTCGTTTACATAAAAAATCTAGGTCCTCAACTTCTCACAGCATCGGTCGATACTATTCCGGAGTACGCCCGGACCCTCTTCACTGAGTCCTCCCGGACCCGACCATCACCTTCTTTCCTCACCCATACCCAGCTCAAAACCCCCAAACCGACCAAATCCCCATCCTGGGTGTTCCAAAACGCATTAACTCCCAACCCCGCCACTGAAAAGTGCATATCCCCCTCTAGATGCACACTGCAAGCAAAAAAACCGTCGAAATCTCCTCCTCCGGGCGCTGCAGCCGCCAACCCGGAATTTCCGGACTCTTCCTGCTTACCTTACGTCGCTACGTTGCGCTTGCGTCCCGTCCGGCGCGCAATTCCAAACTTTGGAGGGGATATCCGTGCAACTCCAGTCTTCTCCGACTTCTTGCAGAGGAAAGACCGTTCCGACCCGACCGATCCTCCTCGTTTTCCGACGCTCCATGAGTCAATGAGGTGTTAGTGCAATGCAAAAACCGGCGATGTTTTTCGCGGTCCGGGCCTGCTTTTTGGCGGCCGTCATCGCAGGGACGCTGGCCGGCACCATCGAGGAGAAAATCCGAAACGATCCCGATCTGTCAGAGGTAAAGTTTGTTTATGCGTGTTGTTGATGGTCAAGGTTAGCTGGTTGGATGGGTTGGGTGTTGCGTTGGGTTAAGGACGTACAGGAAAAATCAGTGAATGGGGACGGTTTTTGTGGTAGTACTGGGTGTTGCGGGTGGGAGCAGGGTGTGAAAGCGATTAGTGATGGGTTTGTATGGGTAAGAGTTGTGGTTTTTAAATGAATGGTGGCTAGTACTGGTAGTACCATTGTGGTAATAGTGTTGTTGGCGAGGAAATCGTTACTGCAGCGGTGAAAAATTAATGCGATATGATCTTGATGGATTATATCGTGTAGAACATGTAAATAATAGGCTTATGTGGCTGCTGGTGGGTTTGTTATTTCAGTCATATTACTGAAATAATACGAGACAAAGACATTTCTACCTTAAAATACCAGTTGTGGAATTGCCATTTTCGAATTTCAAGTCAAATATCAAGTCATCAAATTTGACTACCATTTCATACAAGGATACTGCTAATAATAATAATAGAAATCTAAAATCTCACTTATTTATGAAATCATTAATTTAGTTTTTGGTTTTTTATTCTTTAATGGCACGAGTGTGATCGTAATTTATAACAACCCTGTTCGATTTATTTTCATGGACACTAGCCGCCATTTTGGATATGCACCCTACAAACTGTGTCAACACATATTACGTGACTGCCCGATTTTAAGTGGGGGATAATTTTGTTTCCCTTATTTTATTCAAAAACTGCCATTTTTATGTCTTATTATTAAAAGAAAAACACTCGTTTTCCTGTTTGAAGTCAAATCGTCAAATATGTATTTTACAATTTTGATTTTTTTCCAAAAATCTGGTTGTCTAGGGTAATAAATAAATGCAGATTCAGAATTTACAGAAAATTTAAAGAACTACAATGCAAAATTTTGAGATAAGATCATTAAGACAAACTTTGGTTAAATTTGGTAGTTTTTGAGGTTATATGTCCAACAAAATCGCCAACAGAAGATAAGGAATTCTAAAAAATAAAAAAGATATTTCCAAAACATAAACAAACTTCATTTGAATATTATAGAGTATATAATTGGGAAAAAAGTCGTCTAGTGTGCCATGAAATTTATTTTCAAAATAGCGATGTTAATATTAACGTCATTTTTTATTATTAAATTTCAAAGGTTGCTGGACGATTTTTTTTCTCGATCGTATGGTACGAGTAGTTCATGATTTTTGGGAATAACTTTCATGGTGAGATGAATAAATCAATTTTAGGCATTCTAAAGCACTAAAATAGGGGTCTCTAGGGACCTTAGATATATTTTTATTTTTAATTTAAAGTACCATGTGATCGAAAAAAAATCATCTGGTATGCCATGAAATTTATTTTTAAAATAATTGTGTTGGTATTAACTGTCAAAGCGTACAAGGAATGCCAACGTAATGTTTTCAATATTAAATTTCAATAATTGCTAGATGATTTTTTTTCTCGATCATGTGGTAGTTATTTTTTTTTAATGATATTAACTTTCATAGGGAGGGGAGTAAATAAATTTTGGACACTACAATCAACCGTCAAACAGAAAACGGAACGCGTTGTGTTGCCAACTTTTTTTTTAACACTAAATTTCATGATTGCTAGATGATTTGTTTTCTCAATCATGTGGTAGTTGGCGATTTTTAGGAATGACGTAAACTTTCATAGAGGATGAAGAAATAAATTCTAGACATTCTACAATTTTTATTGTTGAAAATTTGACTAGATTATTATACAATATGTTAAAAAAAAAAGATCTAGTTTGCCATGGAATTAATTTTTAAAATAATTATGTTGGTATTAACTGTCAAACCGTACAAGGAATGCCAATGTAGTTTTTTCAACATAAAATTTCAGTCGTTGCTAGACGATTTTTTAATGTCCTAAATATTACTGCATTATTAAACTAGAATAAGGGTGTAGAGGTACCTTAGATATATTTTTATGTTGGCTTTAATAACAACAAATTTTTAACAAATAAATTTCATAGCATACTAGACGATTTTTTTTCTCAATCATATGGTTATCAATTTTTTTTTTTTTTAATAATAAATTTTCATGATTATACGAATAAATAAATTTTAGACACTCTGCAATTTTTTAATATTCGAAATACTACTGCATTATTAAACTAGAATGGGGGTGTAAAGGTACCCTAGTTATATTTTTATTTTAACTTTATAATGGCAAAAAATCGAAAAAAAAATCAACTAGTTTGCCATGAAATTTACTTTTAAAATAACTGTGGTGGTATTAAATGTCAAACAGAAAAAGGAACGTGTTGTTGTTGCCAATACAATTTTTTAACATTAACTTCCTGGTTGCTAACAAGTTTTTTGTCTTTATGATTTTTAAAAATGAGGTAATAAATGATGAAAAAATAAATTTTACGCATTCTGCAATTTCTTTTGATGTTAAAAATATGATTACGTTATTATTAAACTAAAATGGGGTTGTAAAGGTACCATACATATAGTTTCATTTTTATGATACCATATGAAAAAAAAGTGATTTGGTATGCCACGAAATTGGTTTTTAAAATAATTTATGGTATTAACTGTCAAACCAAACAAGGAATGCCAACGTAATTTTTTTCAACATTAAATTTCAATGGTTGTTAGACAATTTTTTTTCTACATTAAAATAGGGGTGTATACATATATTTTTACCTTTAATTTATAACACTATACGATAGAAAAATCGTCTAGTAGGCCATGAAATTTATTTTGAAGTAATGTTTCAATGCAAAGAAATTGTAGATGTTGCCAATATCATTATTTTACAAATAAATTTCATAGTTCACTAGACATGTTTTCTTCGATCATACGGTACTAACGCAAGAATAGTGTTTCAAGCAAACTGTAACCATATAATGTTAATTAATAATAAATTAATTCTCTAATCGAAAATTGGCCAAGCTGACTAATGTATAAAATTATACACAAATATATATTTTGGGAAGGGTACAGCATATTTACTGACCCAGAGAGATAACAACCGAGCACAAACAACTAACTGGTCCAAGTTATCAGACACCACAGCGGAATTTAACGATGCAAATTTTCAGCATATTTATTTAGATTCTGCAATAAATTTTCATAGACTGTAGTCGACTAATTTCTCTGGGCGTAAACTAATTAATATTCTTTTCATCAACAAAATCTCTGCAGTTTGACCTACATTTTGAAGTCTCGACATCGTAATAAAGAGTTCCATTTGGCTAATTATGCGTGTCACGAACTGGGAAAATTTAAATAAAAATACAATTTTAACAATTACTCTGTGTCTAGTCTGACGAAAAAAATTTCATCGAACGTATGAAACTGCGAACTTTTTAATAATAAAAAATAAAAATTCTGCGAACACCGAAATGTCAGTGACTTCGTCACTTTGATGTATCACCTTCAACGTTCTAATTTTGTTTTCTAAAAACAGACGCCTTCGAACACTGCATATATATTTATGTTTTGTATTAGATTATGTTGTAACAACCATCCACGTTTTTCAGAAAATGTAATTTACTATTGCTATTTGTCATTTCATCATCGTCTATGGAAATTGAAAATCGATGTAATTAAAATGTTGTTTATTATTGAACGAATAATGCTCGTCAGTATTTAAATTTCATGTTAGAGCTAATAACGAATGTTTGTTTATCGATAATGGTAAAGTTTATTAATATTACAATACACAATCCCGCATTATTGAACTTTGAGAACGTCATTTGACCCATATTTTAATATTAAACGTGAATTAAATAACGTTGGATTAAAAAAAAGTCAAAATTCAACTAAAATTAATACTTAGTCTTCAAGTTGGCAAGTGAAGCGACCTCGAGCATGAAAACTCGCTGCACCTCCATCAAGACCTCATAAAATCGGCACCTGTGCAAGGTGCATTGTAAACCTCCAACAATAAATTTCTCCTGCCGGTGTTCCCAGCACTGAAACACGTAATGCTTCTGTGAGTAAGAGCGGATCTCCACTCGACAGATTCGACGGTATAAACACCGCATCTTCCGGTATATTCCTAACAGTACTATAATGACACACTACCGAATAATTCGTGATCGGAATAATGGAAAACAACAGAAAAAATCCGAACAAAACTGAATAATAGCTTTTAGCACCATTAAATTTGTCCGCTCGATCCACACCTCCGGCAAAAATGAGCACTCGACAAACAAATAAACCTCGTTTGAAATTCTAGTTTGCGGAAAAACAAAAACCGAACGCCATAAGAGGGTGCAAAAATTCGATTCGCACAAATATCGCAAGTCAGGGGTGCAGATTTAACTGTTCGAAGGCGCAGAATGTACTCCAAATCCACGGAATATGTGATGAGTAGGGGATGATGGAAAATGCAGAATATTGATGGCGAGGGTGCAAACGGAATTATGACTCGAAAGGGCGACGAAAATGAGGTTTGCTATTCGAAACGTGTGGGGTAATTACGGAGTTAAGCCGATGTCGGTGGTTTTAATGGTGTTACAAGACGGGAAAGCTATACAGGGTGCTCGCCTAACGAGGTAACAAATTTTACGTGATGAAAGATCATCATAAAAACAACGCAATTTTAACACTTAAGTGTGGTGGAGCACCAGCTTGTTTGCTATTCCCTTCAATAGATTTTATTTTATCAAGTTCCTGCTTTTCAGAAGCATAATTTCAATGGCAAACTTGGTTTCAATAGAGCGTTATTGTTTCAGAAAAACCGAACTATTAAGAACTTTCATTAGTTCTTCATTGTTTTAAATAAAAACTTCAAGTAAAACTAACCCGGAATTTCACAGATTCGTATTTTAAGAGAGTTTCAATTAAAATTCTCGCTCTAGTTCTGGAATAATAAGAGATGAGTTGAGTTAAGAAACACTAGGGTCGATGCTGAGCTTTGAACTAATTATGTAAATACTGGCACGGAAAAATCCGTCTGAAGGATTTTTACAGTGCCCAGAGCGGTGACTTGATGCTTTCAAAAAAGTTAA